AAATTTCGCTGATGAGATGATTGAAATAAATGGATGGTTTGTTGCAGTGAGTTATTGTTCAAGAAACAATGATGGTAAGTGCTTAGAACTGATCTGGATGCGGACTGCCCGCAAGGTGTCGTTCGGTTGTTGCCTAAAGTGACTGGAATAAAAGATGGATTCGTGGAAGGTCAACGGAACTCATGCATAAGTAATCTGTGGTAGCAAACTCATAATCAGGATATTTGAAATACCTCAGAGTATTCGCGATGTGTTTCAGCCAACCAGCGCAGATTCATTCAGCGCTGGTGAAGAAGATGAAACGACTTGTATATTGCCCCAGGTTGGAAAAACGATTGAACATCGGAATATTAAGTTCCAAATATTGCGACAAATTTGGTCGGGGCCATTCAGCAATGTTTTCGTTGTCATGGACGTTAATCGTAACAAAAAATTCGCAATGAAAATCGAACATCAAGTGGATTTTGGACGGTTAGTGCGGTGGCTTATGCACAACTATACGTCCAATGACTGGCATTAAAAATGAGCCATCTCCAAAACTCATGACTGCTTGATGTCAAAATAGTGTTCAGAAAATGCAGCTTGTCCAAACTTGCTCCGATAACTTGTATTTTTGAAGTAACTCTTTGAAAACCCAACAAAATACGATCTCGTTATTATTGCATTCTTTCAAATTCTCTCAACGGAACCAAAATCCACTCTTAACTTTCTTACATCAATAATTGCCGTCCATTGNAGAACTATCGACCATTTAGCAAATTACCAGTTTCTTTGGCCATTCTTCAACATCCATCTCTCTAATGGTCGTCGACTTCTCAGATCAGTGCTGAAATTGGATGTGTTCGTATTGAAAGAGTTTCGTCACGAAAAAACACCCGGCTTTCCGCGTTTTATTGCGGCTGGACGAACCAGTCAACTGAAATTTTTGGTATTACAGCTTGTGGGACCTGACATCAATAAATTGAGACGATGTCTTCCCGAAAAAAAGTTTGTCTTCATTTATTCACTCTCATAATTAACTTAGACGCAGTGAATTGCTAAGCATTGAAGCTGTCAAGCGATTGCTCTGCACTTCTGAAGATTTTCCAAATCGAGCACGTTTTGATTCGGTGATAAACGCAGTGACACTAATGTTGAGACAGCATTTATATCGATTAGAAGGAATTTGTGATTGAGCAACGCAAGTAGACGTGAAATTTTAAACATTAGACAGCATTTGAAGATTATAATTAAGGTTTTGCTTATCAACAGCATTGCGTTTATCGCAACAAACATTGGAGAGAATTGAAACGTTGCATGATGTTGGTTGGTTATCGAGGGACATTAAAGCCAGTAATTTTGCGATTGGGAAAAAGAAAAACAACAATACCGTATATATGCTTGATTTCGGATTTGCGAGACGATATCGGTTCGTTCGCCGATGAATGACCTTTAAAAGATTTCTTTTCATCAGTGCCGTTGTCCACTTATCGTTTCGCCAGCTACCCTCAATCCATTCTCACTAGCTACTCCAGCTACTCACTGTTGTAAAAAGATATTCTTCTAGATTTTTGAAAGGAGTTGTTCGAATCTTTCAAAATATTCACTGAGTTCAGCGATTGAATGAAATGTTGTGATGTGCAGCATTTTGATGCTTTTGAGAGTCGAACCTTTTCAAAGCCACAGTGTAACGATTGCGCCGTGTTATTACGTAGCGCATTCTCTTCTAAATCAATGCATGATTATGGAAACAAAATTCGTTGAACAGAATAGTGACTATTGTGTGTTGCCGTGAGTGATTAACTGCATTCCGAATATTGCTATTTATTTAGAGATCGAAAAGGAAATATTTATTCACAGAGCACCTCGGCTGCATTATTGGGATCAATTCATTACGCATCAATGGCTGCGCATGCATTTCAAGACCAGTGCAGACGAGACGATGTTGAATCATGGTTTTATATGTGCTGTGAACTCATTAAAGGTTGGTTTCGAACAGTACAGTCCTTGTACATCCTCGTTTAAAAATACCATTCTCTCTTCATTTTATCATCCCTCCTAGGAACATCAAAATCATTGTTTGAAAATTCTAGGTTTTCTTTGATGCTCAAACTAATTTTGTCTCATTACTATGAGAATGGCATCTCTGAAGTATGCGCTTCAGGACCGCTTCCGTGGGTATCCTTAGATCCGAAGACGGATTACAATCTGATTGGTGAATGGAAACGATATGCTCGATTTGGCGGTCGAGAAGAACTTCTTCGTGGTGTACCGTTTGAATTCGATAGTATGCTTGATCTCATCGACAAAATCAAGTGATCAGTCTTTCTTGTTCTTCCTATCAACAGAGCACTTTTGCTTATGACAAGAATGCATTGGTCATATTCAGTTAGAATTTGTTAGCTCATCGGTGCACAATACGAGCGAAATACGAGGAAATATTCACTCTTTCCATCTTTTTCAGCTTGATGAATTTTAATTGATCGATTATGTCAACTGAAATGTTTTGTTCAGATTCAATGAACGACCCGATTATAAGGCACTGAGGTGTATGATCGATAGCGTTTTTACGCGTCTTGGTGTGAGCCACTTCGCTCTTTTATTTTCTTCAGATGATACATTGTTTTTCTGATCGCTATCCCAAGCGCATTTTATTCGCACCAAAAAGTCTAGAATTCAACCGTTTTTGAACCCACTGAGACCGCATCAACTTGGGACGTTCGAAGACGGCTCCAGTTCACACAAAAAGAGAAAGATTCCTCCATCTAATGATATCACAGAAAAGGAAAACCCGCAGTTGTCACAAAAGAGTACTTTCGGAAATTGTTTGAATCAAATATCGGATCACTTTT